ATAAATCAAAATAACTAAATTGGCCAAACCCGACGTTTGACCGTTAACTTGGACGGTCAAACGCGTTTACTAACGGTCAACGAGCCATGTCACTGCCAACTCAACAAATTTCAATTATTTTTTTTTTAATTTCTACCTATTATCATTTCCTTTTTTTCATTTTTAACAAAACAATGCTTTTAATTTCAGGACCAAACGCTTACCCAACTATGCATATCGGGTACCCATCCACAAAAATCACCCGTCGTCACCCCTCACCTTCTCCTTCCTCCATCATCGAAGCAGATTCCTCCTCGTCCGACTAAAATGCAGCACGACTACGAGCGTTCTTCTAAGCTCGTCGTCGCCGCCATCGATTACCACCCTTCTCCCTTCTACCCTTCGAACTAAAATTTCACTTACCAAATTATTCAACTCGGAAGCCCCAAAATTTCAATTTCACGGACCTAATGTAACTCACAGAACTTATAGGATGAAAACTACGCAACCAAAACCACAGAGTGAACGAAAGGAAGAAGAAACCCAATAGAGTAAGTCAGTTGCAACGATCTCATTCAATCCACATCTCAATTCGCTATACAAATCTGAAATTCCAATCCAAGGAATTCAATTTCCTAGCCAGTGAACAAGAATAAATTGGGAGAAACGAGAAACAATGGCGAATTAATGGATTCGATTAAGCATGCACAGGACCCGGAGCCACTAACACCGTCCCACTCGGCGGATTGAACGACGATGGCGGCGGAGCTCCCGTGATAGCCGGCAGATTAGGCGGAGGCGAAGAAATGGCCATCGGTTGCAGAGGTGGCGGTGGAGACACAGTATCCTGCACCGGCGGTGGAGGAGAAGACGATTCGGAAGGAGGGTTCGAGCTTGCTTTTGGCGGAAGAAGAGGAACTGGAGTTTCCAATTGGCCGGAGGGAGGGGAGAATGGCGGCAGATGGTTGCCGGAATCAGGGGTAGGAGGGCTGGGCTGGATGTTTATTAAAAGCATTTTTCTATTTTTTTTTTCAAAATGAAAAAAGAAAAATGATAATAGGTGGAAATTAAAAAAAATTAATTGAAATTTGCAGAATTGGCAGTTATATGGCGCGTCGACCGTTAGTCAACGCGTTTGATCGTCCAAATTAACGGTGAAATGTTGGGTTTGACCAATTTAGTTATTTTGATGTATAGTTTGGACCAGGATGTTATAAATCAAAAAAATTGATCAGGATGTTTATTTTGATCAAATTTCAGGTTATACAAATATATTAACCCTAAATAAAAATTATTTAATTATTTATGTTTTTATATTAAGAAAAAGAGAACACGTTTCAAATGACTCCGCCATAATATTTGTCTGGACACTCTCAAGTCTCAACACATCTGACCTACAATAGTACAATTATTGGAAAGAAAACAAAATAGTGCTAGGTAGTATGACCCTTTGTACGAAAGGAGAAGACAGCTAACCTCTGTTTCTTACTTCCACGCAAATGCATGTGCATGTAGTCAAGGCTTCACCCAACTTTGTCCCGTGCACCATTGATTTGTCTGTTCAAACTTCCAATCCATTTATTTGATGGTTCACTTTCATGCTCTTAATTAGGGGTGGAAATTGGGGTGGATGTGATTACCCGCCCTATATTTTGCGAGTAACCACACCCATAAATATAGAATTATGCTACCCCCAACTCATCCTACAGTTATTTGTTTTTGTTTTTTTCAACCTATCCGCTGCGGATTGGTGCGGGTTGGTTGTGGATACCCACAAAAATTTCACTTTAAATATAATAATATTATAATTAAATAGTGATGTTGTATTTCTTCTCACACAAAAACAAAAACATACATTTAAGAAAGTTAATAAAGTGGAAAATGAATTATAAATTTCGAATACAATAGGTTAGTTAGTGTAAATTCAGAAGTGATGGAGTTGGAAAGAGTTTTGAAATAACGGAGAAGCAGAGTGATATGTTACCAGACTAAGATCGTTGCATGTCACGACTCCTCCGGTGGCAACAACAGCAAAACACAAAAGTGGCACGATAAGTGGAGGCGCCCGCTTTTAATGAATCGATTATTCTCCACTCTCAATTATAGCCTTGTGTTGTTGGTAGTTGGTTGCATGTGTGTTGTTCGTGAATTCGTGGAGAAATGGAGATGAGTTTGGGTATCTGACTAACCTTTATCGATTATTCTCCTCTTTTAACAAATTGATTAATTTATCTAACTATATTTATGGACTTGATTTTGTTATAAAATATACATATAACACAGGGACAATGCTTATTTAGTAAAAGTATCTCACATGAACATTGTGTATTGACTTGGTTTTGTTTTATAGAGTAAGTGCATATTTGATTTTGATAGCTACTTTAATTCTTAGTCTTCCAAGTTTCACAAACTAATATAACTAATGTGGTTAATGTAGGTTACAAAGTATTTTGAAGAAATAAATATAACTAATGTGGTTAATGTGAGTTTTGTGGGTAAACCGCTGTAGGTAGTGGTTAACCACTAAGCACAAAAATCAATATTTTGCTACCCACACCCAACCCACTATCCACAAATTGTGGGTATGGGTATCCACAAAGTGTGTGGTTTGCGGGTTACCCGCAACCCGCAAACCAAACTTCCACCCCTACTCTTAATGCCAATAATGGAGGTTGTATATTTTCCGACTGATCATTCAATATTAGCCTGCATTATTTGATGTTCGTGTACCAAGCTTGGCCCCCGCACCTCTGTAATTTTTGTGTATGTTTCTTTTTTTTTTTTTTCCAAGAAATGTCAAGAGAAAACCTATACAATCTACCCCGACCCTGCCCAACCCAATACATCAGAGAAGCCAACCCACAGAATCAAAGGCGCAAAACTCTAAAGGGGAGAGTAACAGTGCTTTCTGCGCCACTCTATGGGCAGCACTGTTAGCAGTCCGAGGAACTGCCCTAAACTCTAAAGAAATAGAGACGGAAGAAAGGAGAAGGGAGCAATCCCGAAGCACCGGACCTCCAATGGAGTCAGAGAGAGCACCTTGACGAAGCAGCCGAATCACCACCTCTGAATCTCCTTCTATGATGACCCGAGGCAGCACTTTGGAGACTACAAGGGCGATGGCGTCCCTAGCTGCTAGGAGCTCCGCAAGATAGGGATCAGCAATACCGGGATGGAGAGACCCTAAAGCCAGAGCCACATGCCCATCTGAACTGTGCACCACAAGACCAGACGAGCACCCAGAAGGACGAACAGCAGCATCAAAGAGGATCTTCACAAAGCCAACAGGAGGAGGGGACCAAGACGAGAGGCGAGAACGGGAAGGCTGGGGCGGAGCAGGGACCAAAGGAAGGGAGGAAGACAGATCGCGAACTTGGAAAAAAACACTGACGAGCGAGAGACCGGGCATGAGGCTGGACATGCTCAAAGACCACCTTATTTCTAGACTTCCAAATCCTCCATAATACACAAACGTATAGGAGAATGTGGGTTTGGGGGTGCTCAGAAAGCATAACATGTCGCCACCAGAGACTGAAATTCACAGTCGGGGCCGAGGAGATGAAATCATTTAGACCCATGAGCGACCACAATCTTGTGGCCAAGGGGCATTTGAAGAACAGATGTTCAAGACTTTCCGGTCTTCTCCAGCAAACCGGGCAGCGAACTAGACAGTTTACTCCTCTGGTACTTTGAAAACCATAAATTAATTAATTCTACAAGTCAAAAATTAATTATATGACCGTCAGAAGTTAATTCTTTCTATCCCATAATTTGATACATAAACCAACCATAAAGGTTGTAAAGCGCCATAAAAGGACCGCTTTAGTGACTCATTAATCACTTGTAACGGATCATTAAGGACCCAATAACATCAATTAAAATAACTGATGTATTAAAACCCAAATAAATGGACCAATGAGGCCATTAATTGGTTAAGAGCCAAAGTTAGCTTGCTAAGCTTCCGCCCACTTTTTTAAAAAAAAAAAAAAATTTGCTTTAGTTAATCACTAAATTCTTGTAACGTTTAATCAAAAGGCCATTAAAACCCCAATAACATCAAATAATTGATGTAATAAAACCCAAATAGGGAATTAACGACACCAAGCGTCAAATCAGTCCGAAACGGACGAGTGCAGCCATTAAATGAATATTTTAATGCTCACTAATGATGGTAAATTGACTTAATGGGCACTCAGCAACACCAATGCCTTCCACAACCATGAATAAGGCCATGAGCCATTTCAAAAATGGTATTGCCCATTTATAGGCCCTTAACTCCAATTAATGGAAGCTTTAATGGGAATATAAACCCTTGTAACGGTTCCATAGAACCCGCTTGAGGTGGCCATGTGACCGCCGGCAACATCTCAGGCGATCGTCCCCCTGAGTTTGTCAACATCTCCAGAAGAGATAAGTTCCAAAAAAAGGGAACTTTTCCGATGATACCATCGTTCCACTCGAATACAAGATTCGGTTATAACAAATGAAATTCGGGAACCGATTCCACATACACGTATAACTTCTTCCCCGCAAACGAGCTCGCTGGGAGCTTCTCAGTTTATGAGATTCATCCTTTGAGCCGGTCAAGACTACACTTATATATATATTCTGTTTCAAGTATATATATAGGGACAGAACCAAGGCAAGTTTGTCATCAGTTAACCAAATGCAATTAAACATCTAGAGCAAGTTCTGCCCATTGTGACAGAACCAGAGAACCAAATAAAACACAAAATTGGCCAACGAGGAAAGAGCAACAACATTTCAAGAGATGGGTTGTAGTAACCACCCGTGATAAACTTAGCTCGTTGAATCCGGAGAGGGCTGAGGGAGAAAGAGGGGGAAGAAGAGAGAGAACGAAAGGGGGAAGAGGGGTTTCAAAAGAACAATCAAGGAGGGAGAGAGAATGAGAAAAGGGAAAGTGCGGCAAGATAGACTGACATGATCATCGACGCTCATGTTTTTTCACTTACAACCACTTGAGCCCTTCTACATTTCTACTTTTACCGCCTCAACTTCATTTCACGGTACATCAGTTAGTCCTATATATACTGTAGATGGAGAATCAAAAGTTTAGTGCATATAGTAATAAACCCAACATACTAAGCTAGAAATAGTAATGGCTTCTTCAGAATTATTACTCATCATCGTGTTCTTCTACTTGCTGAAGCTTATTGTAACCACTGGTCCTCTGTTCTTCTGCGAAGCCGTGGCAATAACTATGGCGCCGCCGCCACCTGAAAACGGAACAGTTGGTAGAGGAAGAACTTCTTCAGCTGTCTTCGTATTCGGGGACTCGATTCTTGATACGGGCAACAACGATCATATCGCAACTTTGATCAAGTCCAACTTCCCTCCCTATGGAAGGGATTTTCCGGGAAGAATCCCCACCGGTAGATTCTCCGATGGAAGGCTCATTTCGGACTTCATAGGTACTTATAATTTATTTTTTGTATTCTAGATGTACGTGGTTCTGCCTTCCCAATGTGTCTGAGCTGTAGCACCGGGCTGACTGTTAGCTAGTGTATATCATCTTTCGTGAATATAGTATGGTATAAATCAACTAAAAGAAATAAGTATAAAAGTATTTGCCTCAAGGAAGAAGTCTAAAATTTCCTAGGTTTTTTGGGTTTGGAAAAGAGTTTAATTATAAAAAAAATAATCTTATGATATATTGGAAATCTCTTATGATAAGCATCCAGGTCTTAAATGTACCTTAATGCCAAGTAATTGTAGTAAGTGTGTTTGTGCAGTTGAAAGTTTGAAAATCAAGTATCTTTTACCGCCTTATCTCGATCCGAATCTTCGAGCTGAGGATCTCATAACGGGAGTGTGTTTTGCTTCTGCTGGCTCTGGTTATGACCCCAAAACACCAAAGATATTAGTAATCACCTTCCTGACTTCATGTTAACACTATGATTTTTGCGGTAATACCGTATATGTATGTTATTTCTAACCATGACTTGTTTGAAATATTTATATCAGTCGGTCATATCAATTCCAGACCAACTCAATTTCTTCCAACAGTACGTGGGGAAGATGAGAAGCCTATTGGGGGAGCAGAGATCAAACGACGTCGTTGAAAACAGCCTCTATGTAATATCATGTGGCAACAACGACGTCTTATTGACTACTTTGTTTCATACCAGAACAAAGTCGTCGGAAATGGTTTCATACGCTGCTTTTCTCGCCGGCCAAGCTTCCGCCTTTCTCCGGGAACTGTACAGACAGGGAGCTCGAAAGATAGTTCACCTGAGTGCATTAACGACGGGATGTATCCCCGCCTTCAGAACTTTGCTCGGCGGAGTACAGAGGCAATGTTCCGACGAGTCCAACGAGCTGGCCGTGATGTTCAACGAGAAGCTCAGCGACGAAATTCAGCGACTAAACGATGACGTTTTGCTTCCTGATTTGACCGTCCAGTTTGTTGACATGTACACGCCTTTTTTCGATATCATTAGGCGTCCTGAAAACTATGGTAATAAAGTTAGTTAAGTCAATTTCTGCTTAATCACGTTCGTTAGGATGCATGGTTTAAGAAAGTTTATAACATTGCAGGGTTTGTTGTGACGAAGGAGGGGTGCTGTGGCACTACAAAAAAAGAGATCTATGGCAAGGGTTTTTTTTTACCTATAGCAAGGGTTATAACCCCTGCTACAACTTGTAGCAAGGGTTTTTCCAACCCCTGGACGAACCCTCGCCAATGCTGCCCCTGCTACACGTAGCAAGGGTTTTTAGCAACCCACGGTGGAAGTACCCTCCAAGGGTTGTAGCAGGGGTTTTAACTCCTGATACATATACCAAGGGTTACAACCCTTGCTACACTGAAATGTAAAATTCAATAGAAATATGTAGGTGGCAAGGATTTGAACCCTTGGAAAATTTGTTGCTAAAACTAGCAAGGGTTAAAACCCTTGCTTAATTCGTGGCTAATTAATTTTGCAACCAACTTATTATGGTCACTAAAGCGAGACCTGTAATAATTCAAAATTGTTGCTAAAACTAGCAATGGTTTAAACCCTTGCTTAATTCGTGACTAATTAGATTTGCAACCAACTCAGTATGGTCACTAAAAATAAATTTTTAAGAATTCAAAACTGTCGCTAATGGGCACCCTAATATGGTTTCTATACGCTGGTTACAAATACTCTGGTTACTATTAGGAAAACCCATAACCAAACTTGTTGCTGGCCCATTTTTGCATATATATATTCCATCATTCATACCATGATTCAATATAATATTGTTTACATGGCTAAATGTTAATTACCATAAATATCTAAGCATCATCCAAAGAAACATAGTAGCAGTAAAAAGAACCTAATGATCTACTTTTCAAAGCCAAAGGAAAATACCCATGAGATATCTTCCCTCTTTTACAAGTACTACTCTGGAGAGAAGCTCTAAGCGCTTCATTGCCTGATACCTGGAGCTCTTTATGAAATTTATAATCACACCCTCCTTTCCCTGCAATACATTAGGAGCATCAAAATGAGACAACTTAAAGCTTAAAGTATTATCTAGTACATCAAACTGCAACTAGAAATTGAATTGGTTCCAATACTTTGTGGAGCTTTTGAGTACATTAAAGAATGCTCTCAAGTATATGTTTTTTTATGTATAGTCTTATTTTTCTGCGGAAAGAATCAGCTATAAGAGCCTGAACAGTTGCAAGGACTTTCTGGTCAGAAGCAGCTTGATTGATTTTACTAATCATACCAATGGTTCTGGTACCTACCAACCAAAACATGTAAAACCGACATATGTTTAAACCGCGAAAGCACTCAATAATGAGTAATTGCAATCTCGAACTCAGACACTATAACAAAAATAAAAATAGCAAGAGTAGGAAAGTGGGTTTCCGTGAATTACCTAGACAAATTCAATATATGCTGGTTCACAAGTGGAAGAGCCTCTCAGGAAGTAACTTATCAGTTAACCGGCCAAAACAGTTTAGCTGATGTCAGTATGATGAGTGCTTCGATATCCAAAACACAAATATTGGGGGAGAATCAAATAACTGTTACCAATTATGGCAGACTATAATCAAATAACTTTTACCAATTATTTCCATACAAATTTTTGAAACTAGCATCAGAACAAATTGAACCATACATAAAAGGCAGAGGAGACTGATGAGCGGATAGGTCAACTAAAAAAAATGAGTAAGAAGCACAAGAATCAGCATTACCAATTTTGTTTCATTACTTACATTTTGATCAATGCACTTCGGTAGGAGGAAAACTATTCTCTCAGTCCTGCCCATCTAAAACATTTGAGCTCAAGTTTGTTAGTTGATGTATAAAAGTCCTTGTGTATAACATTCAAAAGACAGAACATGAAACCAAATAAAATCGTCAAAGAGGACAACAAAGGGCATAAAGCATACCTACATTTCACCATCCAAAACTGTGTATCCCATACAAATGGCAAACGAGCCTGCTGTGTTGCAAAGTGAAGCTCAATTTTTTTTGGCCTACATCGAAATGGTAACTGAAATCTCAGTTGATGTACTTCAATTTCAATCTGGTTTATCAAAAGAATAAATTATATCACCCTACCATAGACAATAGGAGTCGGAATCTCAATGTCACATAAGACATACAAATCATGGTTCGAATTTAACCCGATAATGAAAGAGATTGTAAAAGGAATGAATTTGCAAAAAATCAAATACATAATTACACTTCCATTACCAAGAGTGTCATAGATAGGGACATAAGTCACAAACTGTTGTGATTTGGAGGAGCATCTTATAAGATAAATCATCATCATCTCGAACATATTTTTAGCTTCAGACTTGAGAGGCAGCCTAGAAAAGAAGAAACACAGTGAGCTATAAGCATTTCATACTATAAGTAATAAGTGAGGCTTGGAGATGCAGAGTATACTAACCAGAACAAAGTGCAATATTAAAATCACAACTAAGCAGAACTTCCATTGCTTTCATTCTTCATTACTCTTAACAATAAAACATTTGAACAACTAACTCAGCAAAGGATTGAAGAATCTCATGCGAAGAACTCCAAATAAAGGGAACTAAAACAACAAGTGTATGTTTCTTACCTATAGACTTGAATGTATCTGTGCCATCAGGGGAGCTGCTTCAACTTCTGCAAGGTCAGCCTAACACAGGTTCTTTTCCCATTCACCTTCAAATATGATTTTGCACCTGAAATAAAACAAATAAATTCAGACTAATTATAAACTTCAGAGCATTCTCATGGTGCATTGTCAGAAGGAAGGTAACTAAATAAGGGAGCCTCTAACTTCAATTATGGGCTAAATAGAGGAAGTAAATAGATCATTTAAATCATCAACTATTGGGTGAGAATTATGAAGCAAACATATCAATGCATCCAATCCAAAAAAGATACTTTGTTCATCTACCCCCACCCATTTGGATGGGTTCATGCAAGGAAGCCACATCAGAGGATAAGATGTAGTAGAATGAAGTGAACTCGTCGCTAAGGCATAAAATGTTGCTCTCCACACATACTTCCAACGAGCCAAAAGATAACCAATGAAGTAGACAACCCTAACTTAGCACATTTGAACAATAAATTAACAGGAGGCCTACCTGTTTCTAGATAGAGGAGCGAAGATCAAGCTCTTGCTGCAGGAGAACCACCATAGGAAGGTAAGAAACTTGCAAAGCCTTCAGATGAATGGCAAGTACACATGTTCCTTGTTGATTGGACATTCAATAATCACCTTCTGCTCTCCCCATAGCACGCAGTCACAATAGCTCCTGTAATAATCGCTCTGTAACAGCAAAACTCCATAAGAAGAGGAAAGGTAGGAGACTCAATTCGATGAAACTAGGGTTTTGCAAAGCGTAGGAGGAGAGGTGATTGAAATGGCGATGATGTTGGTGCTGTCGATACCGACGAGATGGATCCAGCAAAATTAAGAATGTCCGCCTCTTAGACACCAACGCCAGCGCTCTCCGATCAGTCGCCATCACTGGGATAAGCCTAATGATCGATACCTCCGAATGAAAGCCTCCCTACCATCGCCTCAGGCACCGTCGACTGGTTTATCTCCAATGTCTTCATCAACCTCTACTGAGCTCTCCAAACCCTAGATCTGCCGAATCGTGTCAAGAGTTCATCTCCTCAAACGATCCCTATCCTCATCGGCTTCTATCCTCCATTGGTGAGGCATTTCGACCCGCTAATTAAGCTAGCAACGATCACGTTGTCCTATGATTTCTCCGCGATCCGGAGCTTCGGACCAGCGAACGACCGAGCCAGAGCTTTACTTTTTAATTCATTTTCCCCTTCCTTTTCTTTGTTTTTTATTTGAAGAAATTGGTTTGCTAATATAAGAGAGGAATGGTGGGAAATATTTTAGTAGGATGTTGCATAATTTTGTTTTAAAGGTAGCAGCCTAGCAGGGGTTAGGGGTGTTCAAACGGTTTGGTTACCATGGTAACCGTTTTAACCAGTACTATTTGGATAATTTGGTTTGGTTAATTTGGATAATTGGTTTGGTTTGGTTAAAGTTTTTAGCTTATTTGGTTTAGGTGGTTTGGTTTGGTTTCAGACACTCCTAACCAGTCAAACCAAATTAACCAGTTAAGTAATTAGTCATATATCTAACATATATTATATACACATACTTAATACTTTGCATAACCACTCAAGAGTTAACGTTCATCCCTTTTAGACTCATAAAATATAAAGCTCAATATTGCTCATATAGTGTATATTTGTATATGTAAAATGTAGACCACAATATATGGACGTCTAATTTTGATAAATTTCATACATTATGATGGATGAAAACTTGAAAGGAAGGTCATTTCCAGCCTATGATAATTGCTAAGAGACTAAGTCAATTTACACAAACACAACAATTCATTAACCCATACCATTGTCATAAATTTTTGTTAGGTGAATACTTCTATACTAATAGTAAGATAATTGTCTTAGTTGCATGTATTTTTGTTAAGGGTCACGTGTTGATTGTTATGTTTTATTCATTATATAAATTGTGAATTGTTGCATTAACCGGAAAATTTTCATCGTCAATGATAATGTGATTTTATATTGGTTAATCTGGTTAACCAATTAACCAAACCGATTAAACATTAGTTTGGTTAATTTGGTTGTTGTATTAGTTTGGACGGTTTGGTTATGATATTGTATTCCATGGTTAATGGAATTTAGCCTTATTTGGTTTGGTTATAACCATGGTAACCATTTGAACACCCCTAGCAGGGGTTATCCAACCGCAGAAACTGACCGTTGGTATCGCAAGTTTAGGAATTAATAGCAAGGGTTAGGTGAACCTCTGCTAAGAAACCGTCGGGATAGCGGCAATTTTTTGTAGTGTGGGACAGGAACTATAGAGTTTGGATTTCTTTGCAATCGATTGAGCCCTTCTACTTGTGCCGACAATTCAAAGTACATTTTCTGGGATAGTCTTCATCCCACAGAAAAAGTCTATAAAATCTTGACTTCTGTAATAATGAAAGACATAAATAAGCTATTATAGTGAAATCTTATGTCACATGCTTAGTAGACTATGTTGGAATACTACTTTGAGTTAAACTACCTAGACACAACATAAAAAACAAGAGCCAAATCCCATGAGCTTTATCCCTTCCTTATAAATTATTTTGAGTTACGCATTAAATAATATTTAAAATGATGATTTTCTGGAAAATTATCACTTGAAACGTTATGTCTTTGTATTAATGATTTACCTTATTAATATTATTATATGTTTATTTTATGTGGTACTTAAAATCCTTACAATTCCGATTTTACCCCAGTTTTCGATTTTAGGTAAAATCCTGATTTTGACTGGAAATATCTTTTCCACACGTAACAGAAAACAACCTGTTGGGTCACACATTGAGCCACACGGCCCGTAAGCCCAGGAAGCACTCAAGGCCCACACAAGAACAAGCAAGGCCCAAAGAAAGAACAGGAGCGAAGGCGGTCCGACGATGCTAATACCAAAAGACCGCCCGACATAACCAGGACCTGATGCCAAGTAGGGCTGGGCATGCGGGCGGATCATCCGCGGATTTGGGCCGACCCACCCGCATTTGACCCGAATTTTGTTAAGTGGGTGGGTCTGTGGGTGGGTGACGGGTTGCGCTGGGAGCCATCCGTCGGGTGGTGGGTGGGTTGTGGGTGAGTGTGCGGGTGACCCGCTCAACCCAACAGCAAAAAGATCAAAGTCGTTGGCGCTAGAGAGAGGAGAGTGGAGACGTTAGATATAAACTCGGACTGCTCCTGGAGTTTGAACCTCAAAGCCAACCTTCCAAATAGAGATTCCCTCTTCTTCCCTTTATTTTTTCCTCTAATTCTTGTGCCTAGATCACCGCTCTTTCCTTTGTGAAATTATTTTCCTTAGTTCCTTGCACCTAATAATCGTCTCAATCTGTAGAAAACTCTTTCATAATAGAATTTCTATCCAATTTAAGAACTAATTCGACATTTTTCGCCCTATTTCAATTTCTTGTTTCCCTCGATGATTCTCTTCACCTATTATCATGTCAAGTTGACTCCTTTATATTATATACATTGTGATGTGGGTGAACCCACAAACCCACCCGCATCATCCACCATCCGCCCGACCCAACCCGAGACTAAACGTGGGTGGGTGGTGGGTTAAAAATTATCAATCCGTTTAAGCGCGGGTGGGTGCATTTTATGGTCAAAATCCACCCGACCCACCCAATGCCCACCCCTAATGCCAAGGGACCGCCCGACATTCTGGATCCTACGTACGGAATCTGACAAGAGGAGCGGAGGAATCCAGAGGCGTCCTTGAGCGCCCGACACAACATTAAATGCTTGAAGCTCAGTCGAGACTAGTATAAATACCCCTCATAGGATCACATTTATGGTAACTTCTATCTACTCCATTCTCTCTCATGTTTACTCCACATCCACTTCTCTCTCTAACTGAGGCATCGGAGGAGGTCCCAGGGTACCCCCTGTGGACCTTTGTTGCAGGGTTTCGAGGGCTGCCTCTCATCCTCCCTAGACCGCGCGAAGCCGGTGAAGCCTCACAAACCGCCCGGTACATACCTGGCATAAACATTTTGGCGCCCACCGTGGGGCATCACGACTTCGTCATTGAAAAGGGATGGGAGACGACTTTGAAACTCCCCTCAAAGGAATGACTGAGAACAACACCCTCCGAGGGCTATCGCCGAGAGTCGAGGATGAATCTGAGCTCGAGGAAGTAGTCTAGAGTCAAGGCTTGCAAATCGCGAGCATGCAAGACAGGCTGTCGCAGATCCTCCAATCCTGAAGACAAGAGAAGACCCCCCTGAGGGATCAAAAGGGAAGACGCGAGAGGAGAAGCAGAAGACTGCCGTGTTCCTCGACAGCCCTGCTCGGACAGAAGGCGGGGGACCGGAGGCAGAAGATGTTGACCTTGGCTTTCTCGAAGAACATCTGCGGTCCACCTACGGGAAGCACACGAGTCCGAACATTCTTCAAAACCCACTCTCTAAGGAGCTTTCAAGACCCCAGTACCTCCAAATTTCTCCTCCCTTGGACTACCTACATACAGCGGGATCTCAGATCCCACGAACCACCTTTGCGCCTTCATGCTGAAGATGCAGCTCATCAACGCTTCGGACTCCGACTTGTGACGAGCGTTTCCCGTCACCTTCAGCGGTCAGTGTCGAACGTGGTACACCTCCCTCTCGGAAGGGGTGATAGAGAACTTCGAGCAATTCGCGATGCTCTTCTCCACGAAGTTCGCGTTCTAGCGGCAGCGCAAGCTCACGGTCTCGGTACTCATAAACTGTAGACAAAGGAAAGAAGAATCGCTTGCGGAGTTCTACGACCGATGGAATGCGATCGCTTGCGAAATATACGGTATCTCCTCGGTCATAGCCGCTGGCAACCTCAGGATATCCACGACCAGCATCGAGCTTAAGAGAAGATTGATAAAAAAGAACCCATGCTAACGTCATGGTCAGACCTAGATCAGTTGGTGTAACGTGCTATCTTGCTTGAGGAAGCTCTAGCTACCGACGACAGGGGCCATCAGGGGCGGTCCAGAAGCGATCCACAAGAGCGCCCAGACGCTCGACGTGGAAGGCGCTCTCCCGAGCAAAAATCGTATCGCAGCCGGTACGCAGACCGCGAGGGTAAAAGGGAAGTATATTCCACCGACCGAGAAAGAGGAAGAGAAAGACGAAGAGGCGCGAAAAAGCTGGAAGCGTCCTCTGGCCAAAAACCGCAAGAAGGCAAAAAATGGTGCGACTGACACCAAATGGCGACTCATGACACCACCGAGTGCAGAGAGTTCAAAGCCAGCTTGAAGTACTTAGCCCGGGGAGACCTGCGTAACCGCCTCGAAACACGACGTCCTCATCGGGACCATTCTCAAGAAGGGCGGGAAGACTCTCTCAGTCCTGAAGCAGTCAAGCCAAGAAGAACCCGTAAGGAGAGGTCCAGGTCGCCCACAAGGAACAAGATCATCTCGCCCCAGAGGCAATCTCCCGCCTACCGACCCCCAAGAGGAGATGATGATGGCATGGAGGTCATCACCATCGCGGGGGGTAGAAAGCGCATCAGATCAGACGTAGACCGCCTAAGTTACTGCATGAGCGTCCAACGTCGAGCGCCCACCGACGTCACTTTCCTACCATCAGAATTGGCTAAAGAGGAGAACTCAGAGGATCCCTTAGCCATCTCATTCCGAACCGACAAGTTCAAGGTCACCCGGGCTCTCGGATACAACGGGAGCTCCGCGGATATCCTCTTTTACTCAGCGCTCAGGGGCATGAAGAAAAGCATCCAAGACCTCTGATGACTCGGTATTTGCACATGTTTTCCCCTTTGTTTCTTGATTGTTTCAGCTTGAATTATCGTGTCTTTGGCCTATTTTATGCTAGGTTGTGTTCCTTTCTCACATTTCAGTTCCTAGCACATAAAGTGAAGTATAGGCGCAAGTTTCAAGTCAATCAGAGATCAATTGACGATTCGAGAGAAGAAACTCGGGCATGACCTGAAGAAGAATGGATTTCTACCTCACTTTATGGAAAAATAATCATGCAAGCTTGTTATGAAAAGAAAGAGGACGAGACTACGAGCGTCTGGGATCAAACGGCGACTGAATCGGAGGTCAAACGAGCTCAAACGAGATCAACGAAGCTTAGGAGTGCATGCTGGAAATTGTGCACGGCCAGAACCTCAATTTGCACGGCCGTGCAAGTAGGGGGTGTGAGTTTCAGCGGGTATAAAAGCTGTTTTGCGATTTTTGGAGAGGGAGAGCTGGGTTTGAGATCCCAAACACCCAAGGGACGAACCCTAGAGAGAGAGCGACTTGGGAACATTCTTGGAGCTATTTTGGAGGATTTCTTCGCCATTGGAGCTCGGGAATCAAGCTTGGAGATGGAGATTGAAGATCTAGATCAGATTTCTCCAGTCTCTCTCTTCTCTATGGAGTAACTTCCCTTCACTTAGGTTTTGAGGAACCATAGTTCCATGAGTTAGGATCTTTCTTGTATGAAGTTTTGGATGCTATATTGTTTGATTATAATCGATTGAGGCATGTTATTGAGTCAATTGGATCTTGATCAAATTCTCTTGATTTCTGCTTTAACCTATGATAGATAGAATCTGATTAGGTTAAGAGAGCTTCCTTGATTGATAGTAGTGAATTGGTTGTGCGAGAGTCAATCAATTCACTGCTTTGTACTGGAATTCATTCCAGTAGTGGAGATCTGTGTGAATCGCCTTAGCAGTCTATCCCGGTGAAGGCTAGTCGCCTGCCGGGTATTCTGTCTGAGAGGGCTTGGTCAGCTTAAGAGATTCCAAGCTAATTTAGGATCTTCCGCAGTTTAATCAACAGTAGATCAACCAAAGGTAATTGCAACTTGGACCTAATTGAGGAGCTAGGGGGAATCATACCTAAGTGAGTTCCCAACTTGTAATTAGTAGAGTAGTCAGTAGAGTAGTTTATCAATCAATTCTTAATCTAGTCTGCTAGATAATGAACTGAAGCTGAGTAATAGTAACTCTAGAGACCCGTGGATTCGATATTTATTACTTGTGCCACTATACTGCAGTCCCTTTCATTGGTTACACTTGGCCATTGTTAGGTGTTGTGTTTTGGCGTGTCAACCTCAATCCCTCCAACACCAGCCTGGTAGGGTTTTCGGGAACGAAGGTTCGCGTCCTTGGATCAATCACCCTCAAGGTCACCATAGGCGAAGGGGGAATCACTAAAACCAAGCAGGTGGAGTTCCATGTGGCAGATTGCCCGTCGGCGTACGATGCCATTCTTGGACGCGCCTTCCTAGCCTCCTTTGAAGCGGTCGCTTCCACGTGTCACCAAATGCTGAAGTTCCCGAGCGGGGGGCAGACAGGCCGCGTCCGAGGCAACGCGAAAGAGGCGAAAGAGTGCTACCAAGCAACCATCGAGCGCCTGGAAGTTGACCTCGTCGATTCAAGAGGCGACGTTCCTCGACCAGAGGCCGTCGAAGGGGACATTGCAGTCCCCTTAAACGAAGAGCTACCAGACAAGACGGTTCGCATCTCGGCTCACTTGGCCGCTGAAGAAGCTCAAAAGCTACTCACACTCCTCAGAGAGTACCAAGACCTCTTCGCCTGGGGACTAGAGGACATGCCCGGCGTCCCCCGAAAGGTCTCCG